GTCTTTCATTGTGCAGAACAAGATTTTGATCCCCAAGGGGTTGGCACTGATTTCAGAAAAGTCATTTATCATTGAGGCTGGAGCAAAGAAAGAGATGCCGGCCTGATCATGTTGGACAGATGAGCGCTATGACACATAGGTGCATTGCATTCATAATGGTATGCCTCACACCATTGTTGTTACAAAGAGAAGTTTAGCAACCAAGTCGATGGCATGCTCATCTGGTTTTGAGGATGGCAAAGCCAGTCATTCATTTTGAGACTAGCCCTGGCTTCTGAGAACTATGTCTCAGCGCCTCCAACCATGTCCCTAATTTTGGCCCGGCATGTGACATCTCATCTTCGTAAACTAGCAATGCAGCCTCAGCCATATGCTGCATAAATCGATCTTGGGCACTTTGGGCATGGTAGTTTTTTGTCATGGTGCAGTGGAATAACACCATTGCCACAAACCCCAAAGAAAACCATGCAGCTTGTTGATGAAAAAACTGACCGCTTTGGGTATGCATGGACAGTGGACATGGACTCATGTTGTTTATGGGATGCCAAACCATGGAGCCTTTTCGTCACAGGACCTGGCTCTGCTTGCCGACCTCTCACATGATCTCCGTGGTCTCCTGACAGGACAGCTGTTTGGAAACATACCAGTCAACAAAGCTTCCCCTACTCGTTGCAGGAGGTTTCCTTGGCTATTGTGTTTCTTTTTATTAGAGAAATTCGGATTTATGTGGTCTCATTTTGAGGGTACAGGGCTTTCAGACTTTTGACAGGCTATGGCTAGAATGAAGTTCTAGTTTCATGCTCTGTTGTGCATTCTGCATTGGATCAAGCAGAACGTTGATGCCACAGTCGATTTTGGGGCCCAAGGACTTTCCAGCCCCAATTTCGTACCATGGAAGTCGATCCTAATGAAGAGGGCTTTTGCCTGTCGACATCAGCACCTCAACAAGGGCCAGAAATGGACCTTCATGATGAAGGCTTTGTCCTATCGACAGCAGTCTTTAAGAAGAGCCGGAAATGGACCTTCATGATGAAGGCTTTGTGCTGGAAGCTGTTTCAGCGCAGGAGGTTACAGTGCCTTCAGACAATGGCTTCTTTCTGGACCCACCTGTCGAGGATGGCTTCCTCCTGGATCAACCTCAGCAAGAGGTGTGTTCAGAAGTCAACTTAGATCCGCCAAGACTGCAGCAAAGAAAGAAATCAGGAAATGCCAAAGTGGCGCGTGTGCCTGCCTGCACTCCCGAGGAGTTGGAGGCAAGATTTGCTGAGGCAAGTGGACATCGCCAATGGCAAGTGTTTTTGGACCTCTTTGCTGGTGCAGGGCGAGTGGCAGATGCAGTCGAGAGCAAAGGTGGGGGAAATTAGCACACATGTCCTCAAATCTTCAGAGAAATGAGGCAATGAACAGACCACTCTAAGTGCCTGCATTTGCCTGAAAAAGGATATGCAGCATTGCGGCTGGACATCATGCATGGGGTCGATCTTGGATGTTCCATGATAATGTCTTGCATCCTTGGATGGATTCGGGCCGGCTTGATCCTTGCCGTCATGGTCTCAGTAGCAGAGATGTGCAGTAGCCATTTCACACAGGTCATGAATTCTTGAGTTGAATCACTGCCACATCAGGTGCTGTTATGTCCGCCCTGTCAGTCATGGTCACGAGCCAGACGTGGTAAGCGGACAGCTACCCGACCGGGTTGGCCAGCTTCCTGGATTTGACCATTGGGCTTTTAACCTTCAAACATAATCATAAGTCAACCCTTTTATTTTTGGTGTAGCCATAAACAGTTAATTAATTGATTAAACACACCAAGTGCACTTCTATTTCTGAAAATTTTGACTGCAGGCCCAGGATGTTGAGCTCCTCCGCAACGGAAATGCTACCATCAACACTTCTTTGCAAGTCATCGCTGCCTGCATGGCCATGAAGGTGCCAGTGGCTTTGGAGCATCCCAATAGTTCCCTCCTTTGGAAACTCGATGACTTGTCATATTTGACTTCATAATTCAAACCACTTGAATCTTATTAAGCCCCAAAGTAATGTACTGGATCAAGAGTTGTGTGGGACAGAAAAGCAGAAGTTTTGTTGTTTTTTGGCTTGAACATTGAATTAAGCATTTTGCTCCAGTTCTAACGCTGATGACAAGAAACCCTCAGGACTTGATCAGATTGGCAGTGGCCTGTGTCGCTTTCCAGGAGTGGACAGTCGATTTCTGCCAATATGGCACGCCCTACAAGAAGCCAGAAAAGATTTGGCTGTTTGGGCTCTGTATGCGTGCAGTAGACTGTAAGTGTAAGCTCAGAAAGCTGCGGCATGCCGGCAAGCCAGTGTATGTGTGCAGTCGAACTGGCTTGCCACATACTCCATTGACTGGCGTTGAGCCAGGCCAGGGCTTCCGCACAAAAGCTGCAGAAGTGTTCCCACATCAGTTTGCTTCCGCTCTGGCAAGCTTGTTCTTTTGAAGTGGTAGATGCTTTCCATGCAGTTTTTGACTTCCCTCTTGCTAATTGGACTCGATGACACAAGGAGTCGATGACACAAGCTTGCTAGTTGGAGTCGATTTTGGCCCATAAAGTTTTGACTCCTTGATGTGCAAGAATCGAAAAAAACACAGGTCAGTGTCTGTTGTGTGTTGGGGCATGCATGCATACAAACCCAAAAAAGCCTGGATCCCTCCTACCTGTGCCAGGACATGGTGCTGGCGCCGCCTTGTTCGCCTACCTGTGCAATATGTGGAAAAAGTGCGATTGTCTATAATAACTTACACATATCAGCAGCAATAGCCACATCATCTCCAAGAATACAACGTTGGAAATTAGCTCTGCTGTGCGCTTTTCTGGTCCAACATATCCAAATTCCTGCAAAACGCCGCTCAAAATAGCCGCTGTGGGCAGTGTTTGTGGCTGTGAATACCAGTGTTGCACTGTATGATGATACAGATTTGGCGTATATTGCCCAGGCCAAACCCTATAAACTGTGCATGTTGCATGGTTGTTGGCTATGTTTTGCCCATATTTCCAGCACTTTCTGTGGCTCCTACGCTCCTCCAATATGTGAGATTTGGCTGCTGATTGGCAAAACAATTGCAGTTGTGGGCTGGAGCATGCTCAGCCTGCGCAGAGAACCATGTTAAAAGTCGTCTTTGATGACTTTTCTGGTGCTTTTGACCCTTCCTGGTGCTGGGGTCCCAATTTTGCTGATGATGCTGGCGTGCCGGGGCGCGCGCGCCCCGGTGCAGGAGCATCATCAGCACAATTGGGACCCTGTTTGTTCAGTTAAACTAGAGAGAACAAGCCCTTCCAAACCTTTAAAAACATCCCAGCTAGCAACAACATCATTTTTGCGTACATTTCTCTCGATCAGGAGCATCAGCTGGGCTGGGGTGGGCTCGGCTTTCACATGATGGCTGGGTGGGCAGGGGGGGCGGCGCCCAGGCCGGCCCTTGCCGCCAGGCACTAAATACCAGGCGACCACGCAAGGAATACAGTCGGGTTTTTCAATTGCCTGGGTGGGCTCCGAGTAGTGATCTTTCTGGACTGTGATGTTTTGCTGCAGGGGGCGACTACCATCGACTGCATCCTGGAGCAGTGGAGCCCGAGCGGCATTGAGCTGGTTCCCTGACTGCATCTGTTCTTGAAGTTTATGTCTCTCAGGCTTGAGCTTCTGTTTCCTGAGGCTTCTTCTGGCAATGGAGCGTATCATGTTTGGGGATGCTAGACGCATCCCTTTATTCACAGTAGTCATGCATGATATAGCTTCGGTCAGGAGAGGTTTCAGCACCTACGACGCAGACTTTGCTTTCACTTTCGCTGTCAAATATGAGCTTAGCTACCGAACATCTTTGATGTTGGATAGCTGGTGGCCATTTATTCGTGTGTTGCGTAGTGTCTCTCAATCAGATCCTGTTTTCGGAGGACAACCGGCTAGCGCAGGTCCTTCTGAGCCGGGCTTAAGCAGTATAGGCACAACAGGTTCTTCCGAATCACCGCTCCGTGCAAGATACTTATTGCCTTCATGCCAACTATCTATGTTGGTTCTTGTCGCGGTACTTCAACGTTTCGTACTCGCCCACGAAAGGCGTGAGCCCTGGGCCAGTCAACGGCTCATGTGCTGAGCAAAGCTTTTCGCGTTGCCATTATTTCAGATACGAGTGGTTTTCGTTGCGCCGTGCACTGCATGCTGAGCAGAGCCTAGACCGGCTCGGATCTTCCAAGCGGGACAGCGGGCCTCCAATGCATGCAGCTCTTCCTGGGGACCGCCAGTCGACATCCAAGCGCTGGAGGAAACTCCTGTTTAAGCAGATGCCCTAGACGCTTGAGACATCGCTTGAGAGCTGCTCTGCCTGGCCAAGACACAGGCAAGTGCCTGCGGAAAATGCCGGTTGTTCAAGTTCATTCGGAACCCGATGTCCAGGCAATGCCCAAGCCTCGATTCCTCGATTCCGGTCTTGTCTGAGCTTTGTTTAGCCGCAAACCTTGGATTTGAAGCCATCAAAGGCTGTTGTGCAAAACCCCCCGTCGGTTACTCCCCTCGTGGGTGCTGAACGACCGGCACCAATCAAACAGCACACCTGGAACGGCCTCGACGCATAAATACAGAAATTCGAAGCGCCTACGAGCATGACCTTGCGCCTCTTGGGAAGGTGAGCGCGTATCTGGGCTTTGGGATGGAGCTGCCCGTGGCACGAGGCGCGCTGGGCGCGCTGAAGGCAGGCAAAGTGGAGGCTCTGTTGCTCAGGACTGAAGGGCTGGGAAACAAGGGACTCCAAATGATGGTGCCAAGATAACTTTATTGATGCGGTTGGTTAGCTTCGAAAGATGCTCATTCAACCTGGCTTCAGCAGCCGTGCACCGGAAAGGCTAGTTTTTGTTCTGTCCGGACATGACCACCCGCAGTGAAGGAGGCAAGCAATCTGGGCCAAAGATGGCCAAAGAGTTTGCAAAGGTAGCCGCACACCTTTCCGAATCAAGTGCTGCGCCGAACCTGAGTCAACATGGGAGGATCCACGACCTGCACTTGCAGGACTTTTACGCGCTCATTGAGGAGCGCACTTGTTTCAATGCCCAGTTCGAGAACTAACGGTAGGTGTTAGGCCTGCAAATAAGGAGAAGGTGAAGGGTTCGGATGTTGAGGTGAGCAACTTGGCGTCCCTGCGTAGGTTGGGGTCGCTTCGTGTCCGGTACTAGAAGAAGGTATTTCAAGATCAGGAGCAGTGACATGAAGCAGTGTACCTGTCAGTTCATGAAAAGGCATACATCGAAGAGCATCGTGCCAGCCTCCACCTTTGAATTTCAGGGCCCAGAAATCGCCTTTGAAAGCAGGAGAATGGCTTGCCCTACCGCTTGGTGACCCTCCGCTCGGGCCATGACGCGGTGCTCGCACGGTGGCTCGCTGCAGGGTCTTTACTGTGGCTGATCGGGGCACAGTAGCTTTCACCTCTGCCTTCCAGGCTTTTCTGCGGCAAGAGCTGCCCAAAAAAGGCTTACTCTTGGTTTTCTCTTCAAGCATGGCGTTGTCGTTCAAAATGAATTCGTGCTGCTTAGGCGGAAGGCCAGGATTTGTTGACCGTCGGCATTTATCAAGTCTCTTACCTTGCCTTGCCTGAGCGTTAGCTCTTGTTCAAATAAACACTGAAAGTTTGATCATCTCAGTTTCTAGCCACAGCACTGATGAGTGGATACATTGCTCTGTCGGCAGCCGGCGCACGTGTTTCTACGCTGTACAAGTACAAGCGTGTATGTCCTCTGGTTGTAGGTTTTCGCAATTCGGCAGCGAACCCGAATGCTGAAGCCTTTGGAAACCTTGCTGAATGCTGCTTCAGCTTTAAGAGAACACTCCTTCTGATAAAGGTCCTAAGCTTGTGGCTCCAAATCCTGAAGCCCAGACATTAAGATCGCATGTGTGAATCTCAATTGAAATGAGCAAGGCATTCTGGTGGCAGTTCGATAGCATCATGGGGTTACGGGCAAACCGCTGTCTTCGACAAAACTCGTAATCCTATGATGTCAGCTATGACGTTCAGGATCTATGCCTTTCAGCAGGGTTGCAGCTGTGAATGCATGTGTGAAGCTTGGGGTTCAGGGGTTTGTGCAGTCAGCGGCCAAAGAGCTAAGAGGCGAAGGATGTAGACCAGCAGCCCGGTGGCGTCTTGATCGGTTCTGTTTTAGTAACCAAAACCCGTGACCAAGTAGTGTTCCTGGGTAGGGTCTCTCGGCTGCTGGGGTTATGCTGATTGGCTTAGGGCTTGAACGGTTGGGTGCCCACTCTTCGAAAGGCTCTCATCGTTGAAGCCCCTCCCTCATCCCAAATTCCAAATGGCACGATGCTTGGTTCCAAGTCGGTAGCCACGTTATAGCGCATAAACTCAGCTGATCTGAAGACGTAACACTTCATACTCATCTCCTGCGAGAGAAGGTCATCAAGGGCGCATCCAAAAGCAGCTCAGGCGTGATTCCTTCCTGGAGAAAGCTCTGCACTGATCTTGAGTCGAAAAAGCTGCATGTTTTGCTGTTAGGGTTTGTTATGAGCTGTTTTTGGCTTCTTGGTGAGACTTATGGATTGTTTTCAGAATGTAAACAGCGCAGTTTTGGGGGAAATCTGTGTATTGGATTCCCTGAGGGCTTCTGGTAGAAAAGCTCTTGATGAGCCAGGCTCTTTTGTCTGGAGTCCACAGGATCTTATTTGCGAGTACTGACTCAGAGCAATGTGATTAACTCGCCTGTGGGTACGGAGAATAAATTTCGGGACGTGCGATTGAGGCTGCAATTATGTGTGGTTGGAACTGCGCATCATCTAGGCCGGCATGCCGCTGCGTTATGCCCAGCCATACAATGGGGGACTCGTAGGATCATGTTCACAAAGCCTATTCATCAAATCACATAGTCACATCCTCTGGGTACTGTTCTGAAGCTTGCCCCCGCGCAGGTCTCCTGTGGCTGCCTCTGGCCGCTGCCGTCATTGAGCAATTTCGCAGGGTTGTCCAGATTTCAGTGTTGGAGTATGAGCGCTGGGAAATGGGTCTGATTATTGGCAAGCATCCAGACGATGTCTGACACTCATCTTCCGTTGCTGTCTCCGCTGATCTGATCAGCGTTTCCAGAAGGACTGCTGAGATGTTCAGAATCAGTCCTCTGCTGGGATCTTTCTGGAACCAACCGAGCTTGAAGGCGTGTGAAGGCGTGGAAAAAGTGGGCCCCAGCTGCGGGGCACTACATTGCCAAAGGGTTCACCGCAGACTCGAATAACAGACCAAGTGCACCATTCATTATAGCTCCTCTTGCACGAGCCATGCCGGCAAGCACGACGAGTACAAGAAGCCTGAAAACAACGGAAGTGCGGTAAGAGCAACAACGATAAGAAGGACGCCAACGCGTAGTGCGGCGTAGTGGCAGGCGGGAGACAGCTGCCGCCATCACCAAGACCGCGGAGGCGCTGGGCTAAGAGATTTTCCGGGACTCTCTGCAAAACCCCTTGAGGACCTTGAATCCTGAAGGGCGTTCCGGCTCTAGCGAGCGGGTTCAGGCTCATGCTTCCAGCGCCTGCGGACTTCAGTTTGCTCACACGGCAGGGCTTTTTCTTTAGAGGTAACTGCCTTGAGTGCCTGATCCGGATTTTCATGAGTGCTGGGAATAGAACTCCGGAAGTCGATCGCCATTCAACCTTTTCAGTGCCAAACCAGTCGTTTAACGCATGCTTGATAACAGCTCATCTGTCGGAAGCACGGGTTGAATTTTTCATCGGATAGACATCTTCGTTTGTACTTAGGGTCACAAATTTCAGGGCCATGTCAATATCGCCTTGTAAGCCACCAGACAGAATGGGAAACCGTGAGTCTAAGAGCGACCCTTAAACCTTGAGGCCCTGAAGCCTCAGACTCCGAAACCCCTAAACCCTCTGAACCCCCAAAGCTCAAGACCCCTGAAGCCCCCCGGCCATGCGCATGCTTCCTGAAGGTTCGCACCGAGCTGGCTGCGACCCAGCTAGAGCTGGCAGAGGAGCAGCAGGCAGAGTGTCGATTCTGAAGTTCAATGTCTTGCTGGGCTCGAGGCTTGGCAACTCGGGTTGACTTACTGTTAACATTGGAAAGATGTGCCCTAGACCGTGTTCATCTCATAAGTACTAAAGAGGAGCGCGCCGTCCTTGGCCTTGGCTGACTTGGCAAACTTTCTCACCTAGCATGCTGCAACAGCCTCATGATCATCCCTCCAGAAGCTTTCTGATTGAGCGTTGCAGCCAAAGTGCCAATTTCCTAGAAATCATAGAGTCGAGCGCACAGCCTCATCCCCGGCAGGCCCGGCGGAGGCTTGGGGAGGAGGCCGAGGCGCTAACTGCGCGCATCCGCCAGACCCAGGCCCAAGGGAGAAGCGGGTACAAGTAGCTTACGAACGTGTAAATTCAAACGCGAATTCAGACTGTACATGTTCCATTACACTTGGGTTTTGAGTTGCAGCAGCTTTCTGTATCGAAACCTGGTTGTGGGTTTGCAAATCAATGTGCGTTCAGGCACTTATTGTTTGTGGTTGTTCTTGGGGCAAAATGCTCAGAAGCAAACGATGCTCAGAAACAAACGAGCGAGCATGTTGCATGACTGAGACGAGCGGTCTTCACATCATCTTCGGATTGGGGAGTTGGGAAGCGGGCTCATGTTGATGGAGCTCTGGGCTTGGAGTTGGGTTCATTGATCGCTGTGATTGCGGGATGTCGGGTTCCGGAATCATGATTGATGAGACTCACCATATTTAGAGCGTGCTTCGCTGAACAGTCATCTCGCCTATTTGGGGCAAGGTGGGCCAAAGAAGAAAGCAAGCATCGCTGCATTGACGAGCACCCAGAAACATGCTTTCGAAGGGCAGGTTCTGAGCTCTGTCCTAAGTGGACCCGAAACCCCTCAATCCTGCAAGAAGCGAGCAGTTTCTCCAACAAATCCTGAACGCATAGAGACACGAGGCTGAGGCCGCCGTTGTGCGTTCGGAGCTCGATGGGACAAGGCACTGCACAGGGCCAGGGGGGTTTGGACTTAGACTTAGACATTCACTGATTTGAATTTCAGGGCTTGGAAAGTCTGCTTTAGAGCATCCAGGTGTAAGTCCAGGGAGTTTAGATCTCCTGCAAGTTGAGCGTGCAGTTCCACACCTTCGAACCTAGTGTGGAGCAACCCCGACCACCAAACAAGATATGTGACCACCATATCTGAGGCACAGCATAATATGTTACCACTACCTAGTACATGTACGCCGGAAACAGATGATTCGCCAAGGACTTGACGACGTACCAAGACACTGGCAGGGACAGTACTTCTAGAGTTCTCGGTATGTTAAATATATGGAGGTGTTTACGGGGACGAATTTCCAAGTTCAAAGCGGGAATCCCTAAGAGCATGGCCCGTGCGACCCCTGAGGGGCTACCTTTCGAGCCCTCGTTACTGCAGGAACGGCTGTTTGCTGGTGCAACGCTGAGGACGCACCATAAACAAGACCTAGTGTGCCTGGTACAGCGTTGCACCAGAAACACTTCAAAGATGCCCAGCAAACAGCTATTCCTGCAGCAACGAGGGCTCTACAGGTTACCGCTTAGAGTAGCACGGGCCATGCTTTCAGGGATTCCTGTTTTCACCGTTTACCAGAGGAGTGCGCAATTTGGGGATGAACTTGGAAATGCGTCCCCGTAAACTCGTACATATTTGGCTACCGGTCAATATGAAAGGTCCGGAACAAGGGCGAGCGCGCATCCCGATCCAAACCCCGATCCAGAGCTCCGGATCAAGTCCTCAAATTCCGTTCCAGACCCGTCCATTCCAGACCAAGGAATGCAATATCTCAAATTCATATTGCGCTGGTTGTCCGTTCCATGCCCGTTCCATGCCTATCCCATACCCGTTCCAGAAAGAACAAAGTATTTGCGCATACTCACCCCGTATTGTGAGAACCAGCAAGAGCCTGTGCGATCCAGACCCTCCGGATCAGACAGCATAGGAATGTGCATGCGGGGCACATGGTTTTGACCAGTAGCCATTTAACATGCCGAGAACCCTCAAAGTACTGTC